TTATGCGACTGGGGTAAAGTGTGGTTCTATGGTAACGCTACTTCTCCCTTTGGATCTAACACATTTGTGTATCTTTTTTGTAGATTCTGCATGATGTTCATGCTAGGGTTCCTTTTAACTTTCATCCTCCTCTCTTCAATTATATGTGTTGGTGGTTGAACATATCTCCCATGGTGTTGGGTTTACAGCTTCCTCCTCCTTGTATGGATTGTTTCTCTTCCTTGATGCTCATCTCCAAAGGTGGGATGTGTGGTTCAATCAGTAGGAGGCTTCAGGACAATGGTCTATGGATGAAGACTTATTACATTAACATGATGGCACTTCTGGCAGTCTAAAGTGCTTTAGTTCACTCTCTTTCTCTTGTCCAGATTTGACTAATCATGATTCATTCCCACTATTTGATGGTGATGGCTTATATCACTCACCAAGGGGGTACTCATTCTTGTTTCCTTTGTGGTAGACAGTAGATCTCCTTTTTTGAACCCACACAGCTGATGTATGTCTCCTGCAGTGTCATGTTCCAGGTGCTTTTGTTCTCATTGCTGATTGACTTTTCAGCTCTGACACACTTTCTCCCAGGGAATGGCCTCTTGATCCTGAAATTTTCGGTGGTCTGCCTCCTGTGGGGTACTCTTCCACGAAGTTTTTGACTCCTTTATCGATCCAAAGTTACCTTTTTTGTTTTTGGTCTCTGGTTCATCATCCACTTAATCTGGCTGTCAATACATTCAGAGAGAATTAGATCCATATTATAACTTTAGTTTTTCTCATTCCATCAGTCTTCTATCCAAGATGATTTGTTTGTTCATGTCACTTCAGGTCAAGCCTTCCTAATTGATCCTTCCTGGCCAGCACAGATCTGGTTTTCTTGGCTGTTTAATCTGAATATGTTCTTTTTGTTCTGGATCGATTTTACTAACCTATGCTTTGGGGGCTTATGTGGAATATTCTTTTCAACTTCTTCATTTCTTGCCATCTTCCACCTTTATTTTCAGGTGGATCTGGATGACCTTCTCTGTCCAATACATGCTATGGGTTGCATCATTGCTTTCAAGGCTTGTTCCATTGAATCCATTTCCCATGGTTTCATTTCCTTACACCACTCCTTTGCCTATGATTTTTCCCTTCCTCCCTTACCCATTGGGTTTGGATTGTGATTCGATTGGCCTTTTATTCTTTGTCTCCATCTTTCTGTAATCAATTCCTGGTGTCTTTACTCTGATCAGCCACCTTCCTTTTCCTTGCATATCAACCCTGTCATCCAATGCAGGTACTTTGTCTGTTGAGCACTGGGACTACACCTCATGCTTTCATCTCCCATACTCTGCTTTGTCAGGATACCATCATCTACATGTTGCCATCCTTCACTCTTCGGTGAGACTGTAACTGGGTAAGTTTTCTTTTTTGTTGTTATATATCTTATTTTTGAAGGCCTGTCTCATATTTTGACCAGGATTCCACTCTGTGGTGAGTGGCACCTGTCCAGGTATACTTCAATTACTTAAAATTATACTAAAACCCACACTGTAAGGCCATGTTGATTTCACTTTCATAATTTCCATGTCCACATAACACACACTGTTCATTACAGTTACATAAACTAGAGATGGAGTGTTCCACAAGATCACTTGTAGGTTGTTTTTTGCGATGTATTTGCTTTATAAATATGCCTGTTTTGGACCATATTAATCCATGGACTTCATGAGTAAAGCAGAAGGGGATAGCTGCCCATCCCTGCCATTCCTTAGATAGAATAAATCAGGTTTGGTCTGCTTTTCAAAATAGGGTTTCGTGGTCACCCATTGCACAATCTTCAGTGCGGACGTTCCTCTGGACTCTCCACCACATTTTCTCTCTCTATTTTCTCAGTAGTGTATGGGAGTCATTACCACTTTCCAGTCCCAAGCTACTGAATGTGATAGTGATATACGATACAAACAATAATGAAACCATTCAGTTGA